CCACACACACACACACACACACACAGAAATGCTGGCTACTGTACAGTGGTACTCTGCAATACTGCCTTTGATTTGTGTACGTGTCGTCCTCACACTCTTCCTTCTCCTTCCCATCTCTCTTTCCTCGTCCCTCGCCGTCTCCTCTCCTTCCTCTCACTGCTCTTAACCTCTCCTTCTCCTGTCTCCCCCCATCAATCTCTCTCCTCTCTTTATGAAATTATCATTTGCTCTCCTCCTTGCCTGCGCTCGTACGAAATCCACCCTTCTCTCTCCTTTCTTTCTCTTCTATCTCTCTCCTCCGATCTCCTTTGAGCTATTTTAATCCTGTGATATTGTTTTGTGTCAGATGTATTGTTACGCCCATGTGCGAAATGTACTTTAAAGATGCCGCGTGTTGGATGTCTTTATTGATATCGCTGTCAAATCAAAAGGAGTTTTTCATAAAGCAAAAAAAAATCTGCCTCTGCTGCTTCATGCTTATATTTGGGTCAAGATTTTGTTCACTGGAACAGAGCTGGAGTCTTCGCTTCCATATGTTGTCTGCATATGTACATTTCTTCTCTGGGAAGTAGCATTTCTAAATCATGAGAGAGGAGAGAATTGTGTCATATGGGAGCGCCGGAGAAGAGATGTCTGTATAAATTAATAACACGCTATGAGAAAATCCTACATATTACCGCCTTTACACCCAAGTGAACTGAGTTATGTTTTTAGAGGAACCGTACGTGTCTGTCGGAGGCCATTAGCCTTTGACTGAGTTCTTTATATCCGTAGATGTAGAAGCTCCATGTTTGTTTGTTCCCCGTGTTCCTTGTTGCATTGTGTTTGTGTGCGATATGTAACAGTCACACTCTGAGCGACAGGGACTGAATGTACGTTAGCGAGAATGGTGGCTGTCAAAACTCAATTCAGGCCCTTCTTTGTCTCAACCCTTGAAATATCTCTCCACCCCTCTAACCCCCTCCAGGTAAGATCAAGTACTCGGAGCAGGTGTATGACTCCTGCATGGAGGCGTTTGATTGCCTGCCCCTGGCAGCCCTGATGAACCAGCAGTTCCTGTGTGTGCATGGGGGGCTTTCACCAGAGATCCACACGCTGGACGACATCAAGAAGGTACGAAAAGAGGCACACGCACATCCAATGTTGAATCAACAATACGGGCAAAACGCAGTCAAAATGAGTTAAGATCTGAATCTGGGTTACTGCATATATATTATGCGTTTTTAAATAAATTTGAATTATTTTATGTATAATTTTAAATTATTGGGAATTGTGTGCCTTTATTTGACAGCTACAGTGGAGAAAAACAGGGAATGTGGGGAAAGAGAGGGGGGGAATGAAGTAATAAATGCTCCGACTAGCTAGCGGCTAACAAACAAAATGTACTTATTAAATTTACCTAGCCTGCAAATAAAGGTTTCTATTTGAGGATCTGATATCTTAGTAATTCTAAGTTTGTAATTCCGTATAATTAAATGTGGCCGTGGCTGAATTCAACTCCAACGGAGAGAAGACATGGCTTTAACTGCTAAACGTACCTAGCTTACCAGATCTCAGTAGCTGCCATGTCAGACTCAAGTGGAATTATGAGGTTAACCTGCCTTTAACTCACATTTACATGAATTATAGGAGTGGAAGGACGGACAGACAAACAAATGCATTTAATTGATATGGTCTTTGGACTGTAAATGTTTAAAGTAAAATGTTTCCTCTTATGTTAACATGATAAAATGGGCAAGAAATCTGAAAGAACAGATTTATGTTGATACATTTTCCCCATTTTGTTCCTTGAAGATGCCGTTTTAGGTATATTTGTTTTCTGTTACAGTTAGTTTTGGGCTAAATTAAGACATTAAGATAAAGCATTACAACCTGCCAGTCTTTACTGCTTTATACATAGCAACATTTACCATTCTTTTAATCACCAGGAAAAATAATAACGTTAATGTAACATGTTATCCACTTATGCACAGTGCAGCACTCAAACACGCCTGCGAGTGCCGACATAAATACACACCAACTCTTATTTATGACTTAATTCCCACATGTACTGTCAATGCAGAGGGTCCTCAGGAAACCAGTAAATACAGTGAACCACACATGCTGTGTGTATAACAGTAATTAAGAACACAAAGGCACACGCATGAACACAGAGACACGAGGACACACTTCCTCATCTAATGGCAGCGTATCCATGGTGAATCTGCTGGTGTGACATCTTCTCCCTCCTGTGTGGTAAGGGTTGCCATGGAGAAGCTCTGCTCTGACAGTGTGTGTTGGTGTGTGTTGGTGTGTGTTTGTGTGCGTTTGCTTCTCTTTCCCCTCTGATTTATCCTATATGTGCTGGTGCTGGTGTGTGTGGTGTTAGGTATCTCATATGTTTCTTTGTGAGGGTTTGTGTTGACTGTAAGCTGATCATTTCCTGTGTGTCTCTGTGTGTGCGTGTTCTTTGCATGTCCTAGTTGGACCGGTTCAAGGAGCCCCCAGCATTTGGGCCCATGTGCGACCTGCTGTGGGCCGACCCCCTGGAAGACTTTGGCAACGAGAAGACCCAAGAATACTTTGGCCACAACACAGTCAGAGGCTGCTCCTATTTTTACAGGTACAGGACAAAATTATGTGACTTTCATCTACAAGAACCAACTGAACAGAAATATTACACAACAGTCCTCATAGTTCATTTCAGAAGAAAATCAACTTGAATGGGAGTGAATATAGTGTAGTACTGTTGATCCGAGGGCTTATGAAGCTCAGAGATATGAACCTGATACCCAAACAAGCCAGAATGAATGCAATACTAGGAGATAAAAAGAATACACACGAGGAACAAAATTCTTTGAAATTAGCAGCTGAAACGTGGAGCCAGAAATAAGACTGATCCTCCAATGTGTTCCTGCCCGCTCATTCGATGTGTTTTAATGATCTGGGCGCCGCGTGATCGTCCAGTGCCAGCGAGATGTGACTTTCATCTACAAATCTGGAATCTAATAAGTTTTGGAGGACTTCAGTCTGTTGGTTTGGGATGTTGGTGACGAGAGAAGAGAGAGCGAGATGCTTCCTGCACGGTTACACCACATCCAAGATCCAATAACAATCACTGGGATTTGTACAAGAGACAACAAATCTTGCCCAGTTTATACACACACACACACACACACACACACACATATTCAATGTACGAGCAAACACATAAACATAGCACTTGCACACACATGCACAAACACACACACGCATACAGTTCTGTTTCAGCATGAAACGATATCCCACAATCCCCAGGGAGACTGCACGGTTCTGTTGCTATGACGACTGGCTACTCCTGCCAGATATGGAGTGATATTAAGATACAGTGAGAGAAAGAGGGAGAGAAACACGGGAGGAGGGCGATAGTAGTGGTGGTGGGGGAGAAGATGAAAGATGGAAATGAAGAAATAAAAATGGAGGCATTTAAAGACAAAGAGCTGAAGTCGATGGTTGTAGCTGCCCCCCCCCCCCGCCCCACGTGCAGAGTGTGTTGCACTGGGGCCTAGTGACATGTTGTCTGTGGAGAACACAGTGATTTTCTATGTTTAGCAGACACAGCATCAATTGACCAACTAGTGAATACTGGGCCCCCTCAGCACTGAGGCCATAAGCCCTGCTCATGCCTGCCTTGTGCTGGCTGATGCCCCCTGCTGGTCTCAGCTAGACACGACTTCAGAAAACAAGAGGCCCTCTCATCTCCCACTGCTAGTCTTTAAAACTTCCTTCTGTTTTGTAGTTTACAGCGATCTTGATATAATGACGTGTGACATGTTTGCTATGTAAAGTGGTTATTACTGGATCTTTGTGCGTGTTTCTTCACCAGTATGTTTTTTTTTTCTTTTCCACTGCTTCGCTTCACTTGCTCTGACTCTTTCTCTCTGTGTCTCTGTCTCTCTCTGTCCACAGTTACCCAGCAGTGTGCGAGTTCCTACAGACCAACAACCTGCTGTCAATCATCAGAGCGCATGAAGCACAGGATGCCGGGTAAGCTGACTGACTGTTGCGGCTCAGTCCTTTCTCCCGGCTTAAAAGAGAAGAGCTCCATTTAATTTAATGGCTTACCTCATCACTTCATGTTCCGAGCTGTTATTTTTCTTTGTCAGGAGACTGGCACATTATGGGGAAAGAAGTTCCACACTTATGCTATTAGCATTGTTAGAGATTGTCCGACGGAGAGCACCAGCAGCCTGAACAACATTCAGCTCAACTAACTCACCTCTTGAAAACAGAATGGTAAGGCAAAGAGCCATGTAAGGTTTGCACCACTAGTCTAAATAAAGCAGTTGGGGCAAAAAACACAATTTTCTGACCCACAAATCCATCCCTGGCATCTGTTATCTTAGTGTAAATCCTCTAAATATAATAGTGCTGCCTTAATTGCTGCATTATGAGTTGTGCTGCCATTAACAGTATTTGATCTGTTGTGCAGCTGGGCACTTGCGTTAGTGCACTTGCATAAGGGCTAGCAAAAAACACACTATCACTTTAGAAGTTTATACTTCTAAATAGTAGCTCATGTAGAGATGAAATGGTGTGTGTTCATTTAAAACACTGCGCAATCAAGAGAAGTGACTTCACGCAATGAAACGAGCAGCAGTGTAGAGATAGAATTAATTCCAAGCAGGTTTCAAGTATGTTCACACTGGAAAAAATGACAAAATAAACTAGACTCACAACAATCAGTATGCAATCTAAAAAATAAAAACTTGATCCTCTCCCACAATACAATCGCAAAGGAAATGAGGGGGGTCTGATCATTGCTGAACAAAATAATGAACCTATTGTGGATGGTAGCAAAACCGCTCCAGGAAAAAATAACTCTGTACTTTTCTGGAAAAATGTTGGTTGGATGCCTCTGACATTTTAAAGCTGCAGTTTGATTGATGTACAATAGTGCACTTATTGTATTATTACATAATATAAAAAGGTTCAATTTGTTGGTTTATCGCATACCAACTGTTGAAACTGTATACCGTAAACATTAGTACATTGTACAAATTGGTCACAGATGTAAGGTCTGTGCCACAGTGGTAGAGCCGTATAACAGGCAGCCAATCAGGAGCCTGTTTGATACAAAGCCATTACTTTGCCTTGATTTGATTGGCCCACGGTCAGACACAGGGCGCAGCAGCCTGCTGTGGACAAAGATTGTAAATAGGTGAAGACCAAAACAAGAAGCAGCCTTGCTGCTGATGACACTGATTTGCATGTCGGCATCTGGTTCTACACAGGCTCCGAGAGAGAACCGCATCCTTGGCAAAGCTACACAGGACACTGGACCTCCATGATAACAGACAATATTAGAATCCCTCTGATAAGAAAACAGCAAACTAATTCTGCTGCACACCCAGATTATATTTGTTTATAACAAATAACCCATATTCTTGATTACTGATGAGTTTGGTAATTAGTCTATCCTTAAGGGACCCAGCTGGCAGAGGCTGCTTTTGTGCTTTGTTTGTGGGAACAAATGAAATACGCGTGCTTGGGTTCATTATCATGTCTAATCTCAGTAGGTCGTTTTCATGTTTGAAACTAATTGCACCCAGACTTGTTTTTTATTGCGACTAAGTCACTAGATCTGGGCCTGATTAAAAATGTTATTTTTGTGCTGGCGGCTCCACTCAAACACTGTCAGTACCCTGCTCACTGTCATTTTGCCCACACAGATTCCTACTTCTTTTGTTTTTAAACGCGTGGCTGTCTCGCCTTCAACCAGTCTGTCTGGTTTTAAAGACCTCTGAAGCAAATCCTCAGTTTTCATACACAATGTGTTTCTTTTTTAGTTGTAACGTGGCCGTTGTTTGTCTCTCTTTCCTCAGGTATCGTATGTACAGGAAGAGTCAGACTACAGGTTTTCCCTCCCTCATCACAATCTTCTCTGCTCCAAACTACCTGGATGTCTACAACAACAAAGGTCTGACACACAGAACACAGAGTACACACACAGAATGCTGTAACCACTGCGGTGCCATTATTTTAGACTGAACAGTAAAATTCTGCAGCCAAGTAGCAAACATTTTTAGTAAAACTGTATGTTTAACATGATATTTTATGATGAATATTTAGGGAACATTATTGTCTACTGTATGACCAAAGAGGAAATGGCTATAATGTGTATGTGTGTGTGTGTGCGTGTCCAGCGGCGGTGCTGAAGTATGAGAACAATGTGATGAACATCCGTCAGTTCAACTGCTCTCCTCACCCCTACTGGCTGCCCAACTTCATGGACGTCTTCACCTGGTCGCTGCCTTTCGTGGGAGAAAAGGGTATCGCATGCACACACGTATCTTTTATTTAGACTCTTCCACACAGAGTGCATTTTAATCAAAACATCATAAGGCAAAGTTGTCTTCAGTGATACTGTAATAATGAAATGCTCCAGTCATAGACTCGTTGAAATGCTGATCAAAACACACCTTCTTTAGGCTAAATTTAAATCTGAGCAGTTTGGGCAACTTCTCATTTCAATTCACATCTCATGTGAAGTGAAATAGCAGCTGTCATGGATCAGTTAACACATGTAGAATAAATGAAGACAAAGAGATGTTATGCAAAAATCGAAATCATCTTCGTAATAACAATGCAAATTATATTCATGATACATTTCCGTCAAATGTAGCTTAAATGTAGCCGACTGTTGTAAATGTAAATGATCTTAGATCCTCAGTCCATCTTTGTCCTGCCATGAACTTTGAAAACCTCCTGAACGAGACAGAAGAGTTGAGTCTGTGCTGCACAAGTCAGCCACAACTTTATCAGTCTTGAGCTTTGACACGGTCTGTGCAGTGATGAAATCACAACATCATGTCCGTTTCACCTTCAAGTGGAACACAGATGAAGGAGAAACGGTACGAGGGATAATACATTTCTTAGTTTTAAAGGGAAGATCCTTTTAATGTACTTTACAGTACATGGTTCTTGTACCACTTTATAATATTCTTCAAAAATAGCAATTAGATCGGCTTAAAAAGGTGTACAACCCCTACTTACAGGATTAGGGACTCGTGGGTAACCACAGTTTAGTCAGATTTGAGGCATTTTATGCCTTAATTGGACAGCAGCAGCAGAGAGATGACGGGAAATGAGGGGAGAGAGAGATGGGGAATGACACGCAACAAGCGTCCCCAGCTTGGCTAAGTTTGTGCGTCTGTGTGTCTGTAGTGACTGAGATGCTGGTCAATGTCCTGAGTATCTGCTCTGACGACGAACTCGTGAACGACGGAGAGGAGATCTTCGACGGTAAGAGACGCTCAACACTGACATTAAAGCAATTTGATTCATTCTATGTAGTTGTGAATAAATATATGCCTGAAACATATTTCAGTCATTACTAATTTTGAAAGTCTATTTTTTGTGACGATGATGACAAGAAATCACATTATTGAGTTTGTGTATGATGCTTTTCCAGCCAGTGCAGCAGCAGCCAGGAAAGAGGTGATCAAAAACAAGATTCGAGCCATAGGGAAGATGGCTAAAATGTTCTCCGTTCTACGGTGGGTTGAGTTCTGGTTCACATACTGTATATGTGTGTGTGTGTGTGTGTGTGTGTGTGTGTGTGTGTGTGCCTGTGTGTGTGTGCGCAGTATGCTATAAATGTTGCATTTCCTTTAACCTTTGCAGAAATTAATTAAAAGTCACCAGATTGTCACTTTCAGCATTCAGTGTTATAACCCACAAGCACATTTTGTGTGTTTTACACGTGCACAATGAGGGAAAGTCTGTAATTCTCTGTATTTTTTGTCTTTTTATCCACACACACCTGTCACACACACACACATACACACCGTCTCTATCTGTCTCTTAGGGAGGAGAGCGAGAACGTGTTGACCCTGAAGGGGCTGACCCCTACGGGCATGCTGCCCAGCGGAGTGCTGTCTGGAGGCAAGCAGACCTTGCAGAGCGGTGAGTTTTTAACACACACAAACACACAACTCAAAGGTAACCCTGGACACACTTTCAAAAACAGAACTAAAACACACACACACACATACAAGTAGACACAGACACAGTCTGAATATCTGCTTTGGACCATCCTCCGGTTCTCTCCTGCCCTCTTTCCTCTTCTCTTCCTCTGCTGTTCTTCTCTTCATCCCTCTGCCTCAATGACTCGCTCACCCACCCCACCTCACCGGCGCTGAGGATACTAACAGCCTGCTGGTTGTGTGTGTGAGATAGAAAGAGAGTTAGAGAATGACAGAGAGTAAGGACAGACAGCCAACGTGTGTGTGTGTGTGTGTGTGTGTGTGTGTGTGTGTGTGTGAGCTAACCCCAGGTACTGCTAACACCAGGTGCCCTCTGCCTCACATGACTAAAGCCTGAAACATGTCTCTGAGTCATGCGTACCCACTCGTATCGGTGCCTGCTAACACAAATTGCATGTCATTTTAACGTGTTCAACAGTGGGCTGTGTGTATTTTTTGGGGGGGGCGGGGTATTTATTCCTTTTATTCTCAGGCAGACAGGAAATGTGGGGAGGGAGAGAAGGAGGTGCAAAGGAGGTCTCGAACTGGAGAAGTTGAAGCATCTTAGTCTCTATGCCATCATGACGTCATACAAATATTTGTATTGATATGTATCTAAGTTACACTTTGATCTGCTTCATTCTCTGTGAGCATTCTTAGGTGATTCAATTGATTTTTTAATGTCTTGTTTGGTTTTGGACGGAAGTAACCGGTGTTTTTAACAACATTTAACTGAGATCATGACGCCTCCTGTCTGAACCACGGTCATTCTTACATTCACGTTTGTGCGTAACTGCACAGAAGCATGTTTCAGCCTTCACTTCCGCTCGTCTTCTTCCTTTGTACATCATCTTCTCTCCATGTCCTCCTTTCTTTCTCTTCTTCTTTTCTCTTTGCCCATCCTTCAGCTACCATTGAGGCCATTGAAGCCATCGAGACAGTTAAGGATGCTGAAGGTAAAGTCCCACTCATTTCACTGTGTGTTTGTGTGTGTGTGTGTGTGTGTGTGTGTGCGCGCACGCAAAGCACATGTGTGCAGCCACTCTGCCACCCATGTTCATAAGGTCATAGATTTTTTTTTACCCACGATTCACTGAGCTCTTCTAACCACATCAGCGCTCACAGCAAAGCCTAAAAGCGATGCACGCATGAAGCCACCACATTACAACACATGAAGCATCCACATGCTTTTCTCTTTCCTTCTCTTGGAACACAGGAAACACCACTTATCTCCAAACACACAGACATGTACAGTTGTGTGAAAAAGTGTTTGCCCCCTTCCTGATTTCTTATTTTTTTGCATGTTTGTCACACTTAAATGTTTCAGATCATCAAAC